TTCTCAACTTAAGGAGGCCCTAACTAATAAGAAGAAGCGTAGGTAGCGTAGGAAAGCTTTAATACTGGAACTGCCAAAGGACTATAATAGAGGAGCTATCTTCTGGTCACCTTAAAAGGTAGGCTAAGCGTAGCTTTAGTAGCAACAGAAAGACTGTTAGGAGTAGGAGGAATAACACTAAAAAAGTGAGGCTATAAAGCTTAGAGAGCAGCAGAAGCTTGCTAAGGCTTAGCTGCTTAAAGAGTGTTGTCTGAACCAAGTTGCAGCAAAGGAGAAGCGTAAGCATAATGTTGCTAAAAAAGCAGCAGCGCGCGAAGAGAAAAAGATTGCTAGGTATATTAAGAAATAGCTCTAAAATGACCTGAGGGCTTCTAAAAAGGCTAGCAAGCAAGTTCCTAAGCCTTCTAAAGCTATAAAGGCTATAGTTATTAACAAGAGTCCTGCTATAGCAGAGGAAGTAGTTTATATAACTTCTCGTCACAGGCGGCCAATACAACCGCCTAAGAAATTAATGACGTAATCTAAAATTTGTAAACTACTATAATAACTACTTTAATTACTTCTCTAAAAAATCTTGTGATAATAGCTTTTGTACGTAGCTTAATAACCTTATATTTAGTGGTAGCCTATCTTAAGTTTTACGTTCATTTGGTGGGGACGTACGCTTAGTAGTAGGTTATATTAGTATTATTTTACTTACTAAATCTTATCAGCTACTACACAGCCTTACCTAACGCACAGAATTTGCTGTGTAGTACATCTATAATTAAGGGCCTATAGTACTAAGTAGTTGATTAATTAATCTAGATTTTTAATGGAGTAGGTAATTAATTACAGCAATTCTATTGCGTGTACTAGCTAGTTACAATAGCAATCTGGGAGCTTAATAGTTCTACCTTATCAATTCTGCTACTGCAGCAGCTCTACTACTTCAACAACTAATTGCTTATTAACTACCTGCTCTTATATAGTACTGTAAGCTTAAGGAGCCTTTATAGACTTCCCAGCTACCTTGTAGTTATTTTAAAGCTGCTAGTTAGCCTGCTTAGTAAGCTAGGCTTCCTACTTCTAGAGTTACTTTTGCTCTAGCTCTTCCTGTTAAGCTTTCCTTGTAGCTGCCTTTATACGTCTCTTCTCCTTAGCTATTTAAGCCTTCTTAAGCTTCTCAGTCACCTTGAGCCTTGCCTTCTCCTCTTTTTCATTGCGTAGAAGCTCTGCTGCAGTATCTTTCTTAGCTTGTTACTTACGTGCTTACTAAACCTTTTAGGGACTATAGAATACAGCTCTACTATAGTACTGTGTAGGAGCTTCAAGGAGGAGAGCCTTGCTACGCTTCCTCTTCTTCTTCTTATTGACTAGAGCCTTGCTTAGGCCTTGATTCTCCATCTAGAGAGTTATAACCTGGATTGAGAGACTATAGATTATATTACTAAGCTGCTTGGCTCATTAATTATATATATCACTAACTATGCTGCTGAGAAGCTTCTTAATACATCTCCAATCTTAAGTAGTAAGAACTGATTAAGAGCTCTTACTAGAAGAAGGCCTGCTACTAGTAGGCTTACTAAATCAAGCAAGGATTCTCTGAGGGTTGAATGGCTCTATACTACAGGCTTCGAAGCTTAAGAGTATATTCTCCTTTGTGAATGAGATCGTCCAGGCCTTATTAAATAGGCGGAAGAAGTCTCACTTCGTGAGGGCTGTGAATCCTATTAATTCATGTATAAACCTCACTAGGCCGTTAGAGTAAGCTGATAATAGAGGCTTGAATAAGCCTATATCAAGAGGCTGCAGCATATAGGTTAAATAAGGTAGGTATACTACTAGCAGAATCTTATTCTAATTATAGTAGTTGATGAACTTTATAGAGACGTGAGATCTATAGCTATCTAGGATTAAGAGCCTGTAGGCCCTCTAGGCTGACTTCTTTATTCTTGAGTTAAATACCTGTTCTAGCCAGTGTAGGCCTAGGTTGTTGTTTGTCCAGCCTGTTAGAGATAAGGCAAAGAAGGCAGTATATATTGCTAGGTTAAAGTCTTGTAGCCAGCTATCTTGAATATTGCTAGTAGTAGCTTAATAGATAAGGCTTAGAGGCAGGGCAGATCCGTCGGCATAGATACAAGTAATACAGGTTATCCACTCATGGTTGCCGTCCTGAATAGCCTGCTTAAGGGTACCTTCCTTATACTTCTGTCTTAAGAAGATTTGCTTTGTTCTTAAGAGTACACTAATAAGGCAGCCCTTCTTATCTATATTGTAGGTATGCTGTGGTTGTACCCCATACTCTTAAATCTTCTACTGAAGAAGCTTAAAATAGAGCTTGTATTTAAAGGCTGAATCAGCACTCTTCCTATCGCGATCTAGGCCAAAGGTCTAGTGAGAAACTAGAGAGATTTCGTAACGCTTAAGGAAGCGATCTGGCCAGGCTTTGCCTACTTCTCCACTATAGATTTCTGAGGCGAAGTTGCGTAGCTATTGCTTTGTAGGTGGTAGGCCACGGCTGCAGAGGTGATTAATATACTTTACAAGCTCCTTCTCTTGCTGTTTATTGAGTAGTCGTTGATTTTCGTACTGTGCAGCACGAGAGCCCTGGACACCTCGCCAGCGCTTTGACAGCCTGCTTCTCTCAACACCATATTCTTTAGCTACTTCAGTGTAACTAAACGATTCTCCTGGCTCTAGGGATTCCAAATGTGCAAGCGCTTCCTCGATACGGTCCATATTGGTGGAGTTACAATAATATCAAAATTCGGTAAATTCCGGTGTGGGTGTGCGTCAGGCGAGGCCGTGCGCCGGCTGATAAGATTTAGTATGTCATTCGGCCGCCAAGCTTGACAGCCTTGCGATCAAACCGCCTCCCCATTAACCAGCTTACCACTTGTATATTCGCCGCCTCACAACCCTACTTGTATACCCGGAGCGGGCCGGCCATCCTCCCTGCTAGCGGTGGCAAGATTGAGTGCCAAATTACCCCCATTACTTTACAATATTGCTTATTTAAGCATGTTCGCCTGACCACGTGATAAGAAATCGCTGAACCGCAGCCTCGCTGCTGCTGCGTGTCACACCCTCCACTCTAGAATTCACCCTGTGAGAGTTCTCCTAGCAGCACAGTTGCGCTTCCCTAGCTGCCCAGCCTGTGCGTGTTTATCTTATGCCTCTTCTAATGACTGCCTTTGCTCGAGCGCGCTGACAGTCCTCCTAATGCGTCTTTTACGGCTCGAGGATGACGGCGGGTTCAGCCTAGTCGAACATGTTGGCAAGAATATCCCGCAATATGCGATTCTCTCGCATACCTGGGGAGCGGATCACGAAGAAGTTACCTTTAGAGACTTGACAGAAGGTATAAGCAAGAGCAAGGCAGGTTATCGCAAGCTTACCTTCAGCGCAATGAGCTGCGCATGACGGCCTGCAGTTCTTCTGGGTGGACACCTGCTGTGCTATACAAACTCACCACTGACGACAATGTCCTGCGAAAAGGGTGGCATATGCCGCCGAAAATGGCGGCAGAATGTACATAGCTTTTTAATACAAGCGTATTAATATTTCTATACTAGCTAAGTAAGACCAGATGAAGCTGCTGCCGATCCGCAGGCCCCCGCTGCTAACGTGTTTGACGGCTTTGCGCACAACCCTGCTTTGCGCACGGCCCCTACCCACTTTTGGTGATATCTTTGCAGGTCAATATTTTGATCAATTCTGATCGCCTATACAAAATTATTAGTGCAGAGTGAAGCTGGATATATCCTGAGATAAAATAGTCTATGTGTGTCTTTGTAGCGCCTTCTTGGTAAAGCAAAATCTTTCTCTAAATTATAGAAAGAAAGACAAAGCGTTCCTCGATCTCTAGTCCGTTAGTAGGAAAGTAGTCCCAGACGTGATAATGAAGAGTGCGATGCCCTGCTCGATAAAGCGGATCCCGGTGTGCCTGAATACGGGCTTGAAGCTGTGTACTCTGGCCAACGTATAGGTAAAAGCGATCCGGATTATGCTTTAGCCAGATGATATGGACGTAGATGCCACTATCTTCGGGACCGACGTCTTGTGGAAGTTGAAGCAGTCTATTATATATTAGTAATTACTACGAAGAATATTTGAGAAGACTTACTGCTGGAGAGAGTAATCTCGAGATTTTAGGATATCCCAAGCTTCGGGGAGTATCATCTCCTCTAGTTGCGAGACCCGATCATCCGATGCGAGAAATACTCCGTACCGTTCTGGGTGATGAACGCCGACCCGCTGGATCATGTGCTGGAGAACATCGATCGGGTTCGGTGGTTGATACTCTCGTGTGGTTTTCTCCATAAGCGCGTCTTGCTCTAGCCATGATTTAAAGCTGCATTCTTTCGCAATTGGGCTATCGGTAGTGCTCTGAGGCGCGCCGTCTGGTAGCGTAGCGGCGTGAGGCACTGGACGCGTCTCTGAATGAACAACGTTAGAACGCGCTCCGCGCCTGGGAGTGCCTTTAGCACTAGTCAGTTTGTTGGTTGAATGGGTATTGGGGCGCAGTTCATTCCCAGTGTCTGAAGCGTCATAAAACCGAGCCATAGTCGCTCCAGAAAGGCTGCCATCACTTTCACTGTCGTCGGTATCGTTCTCACAACGTCCAATCTTACGACTTCCAAATTCTCGGTTGGCACTCAAGAATCCGATAGGGGAATTCGGGTCTGACGATATTGGCGCCCAAAGGGAGCGTTGCTTGAAGCATTGCTTGAAGCGTTGCCCGAAGAGTTGCCGTGAATTCGTGGGCATGTGGGCAACTAATCCAGGTGCAGGTTGGTTGTCTGCACTTATTCGACCCCTCATCGCTTAAGGCTTCTGGCACGGGCTGCACCTTCCGGCACGCCCGAGGTGATAATGCTGTCTAAGCAGGTGCTAACCCTAATTAGTTAGTGCTTACCCCTCCGCAATAGAGTTGCCCTTCAGCTAAACTTAGGATGTTGAGCATGTCTGGTAGGATATATATTTATTATTTCCCCCTTTCTTTCAATAACAGCAAATCCTCCGTGGCGCAATTGGCTAGCGCGTCCGACTGTTACTTCTTCTCATCGGGAAGTTAGCGTACATCGGGAGGTTGGTGGTTCGAGCCCACCCGGGGGAGTCTTCTTTTTTTATATTATTTATATAATTTCTTCTTTTTACTTATAATTTACGAGTAGATACCGCTTCTTTAAGTTGCCACGTTCTTAGAGTTCCATGAGCTCCAATAGGTCTAACTATAGGGATTTACGTCCATTAAAGTTTATAAAAAATAAGCTAAGTAGTAAAAATTATAGGTTATAGGTTATATAAGTAGTTGAATAAAGTTGATATTATTATAGGTATAGGTTGAGTTTACACTATACAGACTTACTACTAATAATAACACCCTATAAAAAGGGTGGTATATATTACTAATAATAGTGGTAGAATATATATAGCTTTTTAATACAAATGTATTAGTTAATATTTCTATACTTATACAACTAGAACTAGGTACCCTATATATAGTAGCTGAGTAATCCCTAAGCTAATATAAGCCAGCGTGGTTATACCTGATTTCCTCCCTAAGCAGTATAGGAAGGTCTAAAATTAGACCTGCACAGCCCCTTCGCATAAATAAAGGGGCCTATTTAAGGAACTTAATACTTAGCTATACTTTCCTAATTATATATAGCTTAGTATCAGCTAAGGCTACTACCTTTAGCTTAGCTACCTCCTGTTTCTTGTTGCACAAACCTTACTATACTAACCCCTTACTTTAGTCTAGGTCTATATAATAAGACTAGATTAGATTAGTATAGAATTGAGATATGTTAGATAATATTAAAGTACTTAACCTTCTAAGATAGGAGCTAATATCCAGTACAACTAAAGAGGAGCTTAACCTAGGAGAGGTATAGTACTATAGAATACTACACTTATTAGTTAGCAAGAGAGGGGATATAATATAGTCTCTTTGCTAATAGGGTACTAATAGTAAGTAGAATAATTACTTTTAACTCTTAAGTATAGTACTACTATAAGCTTATAAGTAGCTTAGGATTTATATAGGAGTAGGGTAACTTTATATATAGATATTATAAGGAGATAAGAGGAGTATATTAGGTATAGCTTTAGGGAAGACTAGGATTAGATAGTAATAAAGTAGCTGAATTTAATAGTAGAGCTAGATAGTAGAGATTTATGTATACTGGAACAACTACAACTTTAAGTTAGACAAAGCTAGCTATTCCTTAGATATTATAGAAAACCTTAACAAAGTATATCTAGACTAATTTCCTATAGGCACCTCAGTAAAGAGGTATAGTATCTAGGTATACCTCACTTAGTATTTAGAAGGTATTAGTAGTACTATCTAGTATTTAGGATTATAGGATAAATTTATAGAGGTAATAGTTATAGAGAAAGTATAGTAAAAATTCATGTAAGTAGGCTATATTAAGAGGTCTTAATTTAGGATTAGATATAAGAGATAAAGGATATATTAGTAGGATAGATATAGTCTAGCAAGAATTATAATAAGAGCTTAAGACTATATACTAATACATCCTATTAATAAATCTATAAGGGTATCCTTACGCTAGGAGTTTATACTAGAGCCTATTATATAGACTAAGGAGAGTTAGAGTTAGGTTATACCTAATTATAAGTCTACCTCTAGAGCTCCTTGTATAAATCCTTGCTATACTACTAGTTAAGAATTAGGATAGCTTAAGACTACTTAATAAGTCCTTTAGTAAGTCTATAAGGGCTTTTACCCCTAGGCTTTACACTGGAGGCTATAATATTAAAGAAGCTCTAAAGATAACTTAGCTCAAATTTGGCTATATAGGGGGAATTAGGGTATACAGCCTACAATATAGTTTAAACTAGGTAGGTTAGGAAATGCTTTACAAAACTTCGTGTAAATTAGTTAGGTTTATAACGTAGGCAGCTATAGTATAGCTAAGGGATTTCTCTTAAAGCTAAGTCTACTAGGGAGAAGTTAAAGCGTTTTTCTTAATAAATAAGAACTCTCTATAGCAAAACTTTGTTAAAATAACTATATTAATGCAGAAATAGATATAGTAGTTAGAGGAGACTAGTAGTTACAGAAATGTATTAGGACTAGTATATTTTACTTACTTAGCATTTTTATCTACTACCTACAGACTTATATCCTAAATCCTATACTAGTAAACCCTCTATCTTAAACTTAGTAGCAATATATAAGTGCTTTAATCTAGTAACCCCTTTTTACTATAGCTAGTTGTTTATTACCCCTAGCTACTTAGAAGAGGTGCTCAACCTAGAGGAAGGATAGTATACTATTATAACTCCTACTATATTATATAACTATTCTAACCTTTATAGTCTAGGCTATCTATAAAGCTATAAGATATAGTAGTTATATATAAGTAGTAACTAAGAAGAGGTACAAATCTTAGATAGACTCTATACTTTAAGCTTAATACTTATTAAAGTAGGAGGTATATTAAAGAACTTCTTAAGTTAAACCCACTTATAAGCCTATCTAGATAAAGAAGTATAGTTAGGACCCTAAGAATTATATATCAACTAAATAACTAAGAAAGTATCTATAAACCCAATCCCCTACCTATATAAAGTAGCCTAAGAGAAAATAGTATTAAGATAAAGTCTAGCCCTATTACCTCTTACCTAAGTTATTACCTAAATAATAGCAAATCTCTGTAGCTCCTACTTAGAAGATAATTAGGGAGGCTTAGATTAAGTTCTGGAGTAAGCAAGGAACCTAGCTAATAGAAAAAGAAGAGATAATAATACTTTGCTATTGAAAACTTATTAATAATATATATATAAGAAAATAATTGCTAAGCTATAAATACTTAAATCCCAGCCTAATTTTAGAAATATCCTAGATATAAACCTTAAGCAACTAACAGCTTTAGGATTAAAAGAGTACCCTATATAAGTATCTATTATTTAAAGAATAACTAAAGGACTATAGCAGTTTCATAGATAATTATATAGAAGGAATTACTACTAAAAGCAAAAACCTCTACTAGACACTCCTTAGATAGATATAATTACTACCTAAATATACCCTTTTCTCTAAGGATAATCTATTTAAGAAGATATACAAAAGAATTAGAGGTAGGAATAAGACTAAGGTAGTTTATAATATTATACCTCTTATTATTCCTTTAGCAGAGATTCTAGTAGATAGGGGAGCTAAACACTTAGAGATTCTCTAAGAGACTATTAATATATATTAGATTAACTCTATTACTTTTATAAAACCCCTAGGCTTATATCCTAGTCCCTATCTTTAGCTAGATTTTAGTCTTAGATTTAAGAGAGATACCTTTAGTTAAGAATAGCTTTAGAAGTTACAGCCTTTTATAGGTAACCTACTTACTAATTCTATCTTAATTATAGCTATATATAATATATACCTTCTATTCTTTTCTATTAAAGTTAAATATAGAGGAGCTATACTTAATATTACTAATTAATAAAATACTTATACTTAATCTATTATTTTACATAGTTTATATATACTCTTCTACTTAGTTAGCTAAGAGAAGGAGTTATATTAAGAAATTAATAGCTTTTTAATATCTTATAGTAATATTGATATAATAATTTAGGGCTATTATACTATTATTAATAGAGATAATATTAAGTATTACTACTATCTAATCTATAAATTTAATTTTATAGAGTTAAATAGGAAGGAGAGGTAGATAGTATATACTTTTATTAGGAATATTTATAATTTATAGCTTCTAAAGCACTTTAAAAGAATATATAATATTATTAATATACTACTAGCTAATTTAAACTTTAAAGTCTCTAAATAAGATCTAGAATTAGCCTCTTTATACTTAGGATTATCTTAGTAGTTTAAAGGCTATAGCCTAGATAATAAATAAGTAATACTAGATAGCTAGCTAAGCTACTAGCTAAGTATCTAGCTAGTTACCCCTAATATAACTATTAGGACTAGGTCTAGGAAGGAGAGAATATTAAAGTAGTAATATAATAATATTCAATCCCTAGTTAAAGGCTATAGAGAGATACCTAGAGATATATATTAAGTTATAGCTATAAGAAAGGTAGTATATAACCTAGGGTTAGGTACTACCTATAGTATATTAAATCTAATATATATTACTATTAAGCTTACTAAGTATTAAGAATAATATATATAAATTATAGTTATAGTTGTATTTTCCCTAAAGCTAGTAGTCTATTTAAAATGTTACTAAAAATTGCTGCTATTAGACCCCCTCTTAGCTAGTTCTACCTATAGGCATAATACTGGAGTTTAGGTACTACTATACCTAGGGTCCTATTAGTTAATACTTTTTAAGTAGCCTCTAAGGGTGCCTAAAACAAGAGAATATAATTTAAAGCCTATATTTATATATTTATAAAATTAGAAGTATATATAAAATAATTTATAAGCTATATAGCTAAAAATAATAAAGTATACTTATTAAATAAAGCTTTATATAAACTAAAATAAACTTTTAAAGCGTAGTATACTTACTTTCTAATATACTAAAAAAGCTATATTACTATTTTATTTATACTAAGTAAAAAGTCTTTATAAATAAAATAAATAATTTCTTTATTATAAAAAATAACTTAGTATCTATATATAGATAATTCAGGGGTATTAACCAGCCTGTATATAGGATTATATAAGCTTACCTTATATAATTAACTGTATAGAGGCTTAGCAAGGGGTACCTAAAAGCTGAGCTTTCATCTAACTCTAGATAGATATAAATAATACCAACCCCTAATTATATACCACCTAGTTATATCCTATATATATATATATATACTATAGACACGTATATTAGGATAGAGCTACCTATCTACAGCGTACGTTAAAGTCCATTTAATACTAATTAGTGGTTGATTAACTTCAACTACAAATTGGCAAGAGTGAAGATAGAGTTATACCTTAGTAAAACCAACTTCTACTAAGGTCTCTATTTTATTACTATTTCTGTTTACAGCTATAGAATAGAGAGATTAACCTTTAAGAATATATAAAGGAAGATAGTATATTATATGCCCTAAGAATCCTGCTGTATAAACCTAGTAGTAACCAAAATAAATAAACACTAGTGCTAACGCCAA